TAAATCCCGCTCCACGTCTCATCTCCTGCCCAGTTTCTGTCCCTGAGCCCCTTCCAAAGCACGGACACCGATACACCCCCCCAGACCTGCCTGCAAATCCGACCCCAAAGCAGCTCCTCAGCGCATCCAGAAATAGTGTGCGTGGCCCTGCAGGCACCTTCCCTCCTCCCAGCTCTGCTGGGGCACCTTTGCGTGGTCCTGTGACCCTCTGAGACCCCCGGGTGGTGCCCACATCCCTGCCAAGGAGGGAGCAGGCAGGGGTGCTGCATGTAACCCCCAGCAGCGTGCCCAGAGTCCCGTGCTGGGGGTGGGTAATGTCACTGCTGGGGAGCAGGGGGTGGTTCTGATCTGTAGTTGGTGTGTTGGAGGGGTTTTAGGGTCAGGGGTCTCTGGTTCAGCTCTGGCTGCAGCAGCCAGCTGGGGGAGGTGAGCCCTGAGGAGGAGGAAGAGGAGGAGGGAGGGTCAGACACAGACTGGGATGCACTGGGCTCCACCAGGCAGACTTTCCAAGCCATCTGGGGCTTGCCTGTCCCTGGTTCGGGTTCCCGAGATTTATGGCTGGAGTGACTTTCTCATCACAGTTTTGCCATCTGCCTGTTGGCCTTTAGCACCCTCCTCTCACCTGTCACCCAGCCCTGCCCTCCTGCCCTCCTGCCTGCCACTCGCAGCAAGGACCCCCTGTCCTCCCACTGCCCCAGAGGAGCCCAGAGCTGGAATGTCTGCAGGGATGGAGACTCCACAGCCTCCCTGGGCAGCCTGTCCCAGGGCTCTGTCACCCTCACAGGCAAGAAGCTTTTCCTCATGTTGAACTTGACCCTCCTGAGCTCCAGTTTGTGCCCATTGCCCCTTGTCCTGTCCCTGGACACCCCTGAGCAGAGTCTGGCCCATCCTCCTGCCACCCCCTGCAGATATTGATCAGCACTGATCAGATCCCCCCTCAGCCTCCTTTTCTCCAGCTGAGCAGCCCCAGCTCTCCCAGCCTTTCCTCACAGGCAGATGCTCCAGCCCCTTCAGCATCTCAGTGCCCTGGGATGGACTCTCTCCAGTAGCTCCTTGTCCTTCTGGAACTGGGCAGCCCAGAACTGGAGGCAATGTTCCAGATGTGGCCTCCCCAGGGCAGAGCAGAGGGGGAGGCTCCCTGGCCCTCCTGGCTACACTCTTCTAAGTGCCCCCTGGCTGGTTCAGTGAGAAGAAGAAAGGAAAAAACCACCTCATTGTGGTCATTATTAAAGGAAGGTTTCAGTGGTGCAACCCAGGTCACCCTGGCCTGGATGCAGATGCTTCAATGAACCTTGTGGTGGCACCAGCTGAGGTTCCAGCTGATGTGCTTCTTCCCTGGCAGCTCCCAGCTGGAGCCCCCACACCTGAGCCCATGGTGGCTGCTGCTCCAGTTGTTGCTGCTGCTTTCCCTCCTGGCAGGCTGTGCACATCTGCAGAGTCCTGTCCCACCTGTCCTGAGGCTGAGCTGCTCCTGGCTGAGCCCCACGTGCTGCCCGGGCTCCTGCCTTCACCCAGAGGTGCTTCCAGCACGAGGGAAACATCTGCATGCTGGGCTGCATCACAAGAAGTGTGGGCAGCAGGGCCAGGAGGGGATTCTGTCCCTCTGCTCTGCTCTGGTCAGACCCCACCTGGAGTGCTGTGTCCAGCTCTGGAGCCCTCAGCACAAGAAAGATACAGACTTGTTGGAGAGAGTCCAGAGGAGAACATGGAGATGATCCTTGGGCTGGAGCAGCTCTGCTCTGGAGCCAGGCTGGGAGAGTTGGGGTGTTCAGCCTGGAGAAGAGAAGGCTCCAGGGAGACCTTAGAGCACCTTCCAGTGCCTGAAGGGGCTCCAGGAAAGCTGGGGAGGGGCTT